CTCCCCTCCCCCCGCCCTTAACACCGAACACATACAGCTGCCTCTCCGCGTGGTCTGCAGTGCATCAACATTCACGCTTGAACTGCTGAGGCTGGCAGTGCAATTGCACACGTCCTGCCTCCTCTGTTCCCCTGCTAGGTACGTAACACGGACATAAGCGACCCCTGGAGACAGCAAGGTCCTTGTCACATAACAGCCTGTGGGTAGGTGATGACAGGAGATCCTCTGGCCCCTAGTATCTAGCAGAGAAACCTGTTCTCTTAAGGCCCCTGAAGAAACATGATCACAAACATACCAAAGTAAAGCAAAGGTTTTCCTTATCATAAAGAAGTAATGTTTAATATCATAAATCCCCAAGCAATGTGTGTGCTAGGTCAAGAGATTCCCCAAAAGAGTACCTAAAAATAACTTAAAGGATTACACAAATTAAGATTATAGAAGTAGAATATCAAACAGTTACAAGAAATTTGGTATTGCCATACTGGTTTGAATGAATTCGTTCAGAGGCCTGACCCAGCCTGTGGCCAGTTTAAAATGCTCCAGATGAAAACATGACTATGCACCAATGAGACCTGAACTGTCACGCCCAAATTAAGGAAACAAAATGTCAAAGCTTTAATGGTGACTAGTGCAGTAGGTTTCAGGGCAGGGGGAGTTGTTTGGGTTTTGCAAAATTGGCTGTCCTTTAAGTATTGAGGAATAATTCCATTCTGGTTTTAATACAGTCAAGTCAGCTGTATCTGCAATGGTAGGTGATCCATTTAACTGATAATGGACATGAGCTCAGGCAGAACAGCCTCCTACTTAAACACAGCACAAACCGCAAGACTAATAAAAGCCATGTTGTGCTCGACAGCCTGGGCTCTTCTTTGCAGAAGACTTAAGCATTCAGTTGCCCTCACAAGTGGCAAACCATGTGTGCTCTGAAAATAAAAAGACTATTTAAGGCATTTTCTAAGCTATGACCTTGCCCACTTATGCTGACCAGCCATATGGTAGTGGAAGGGTCAGTCCCAGCCTTCTCCTGTCACTTTGCTGACCTCATGTGGTTGGGAAAAAAAGCCAGCCCTTGTGGCACCCTCAGTGGCACCTACCAGTGTTCACTATTTATGTGAAGCCTTAAATCATTGCTCAAAAAACCCCATACAAAAGTAATTGATGGGTGCTGGAATGATGCAGAGGACCCAGCAGGATCACTGTA